GGCCTTTTCCCCAGAAGTCAAAAGACCAGACCGGACCGCAAAAAGACCGCAGACCGCGGTTTTTTGCGGTCTATAGACCGGTTTCGGTCTGCATCAGTTTTAACCGGTTTATGACCGGTCTTTAGGCCAATATTTTAAAATTATGAATCGGTAAATTTATTAACATCTCTAATAGCTTCAAAACGAGCCCAAGAACGTTAAATTCCGTTAGGAATTGGTGCTTCTATAAAATAAGTCTGGTACATCTATTATTCCCAAAAGTAATTTACATTTTAATTCATATCTCTCTCGTTTTTTTACCAAATCGTACGTTCTTGGGTGCGTTTTAAAGGGTATTTAAGGGGCTATAAAAGACCGGTCCAAACCGGTCAAGACCGGTTCACGTTAACCGGTTTTTTTGCGGTCTTTACATTTCAAAAATAAAAGACCGTAACCGCAGGTCCGGTCTTTTGCGGTCTTGGTCCGGTCTGGTTACGGTCTTTTTCCAGTCACGAGACCGGACTTCCAAACACTAGTTGCATATCTGCTACAAGAGGTCAAGATGGGAGTGATAGCAGCCAATATCAGAGACATCGCAAACGAACAGTTCAACGAAATGACCAAGGATTTGAGAGAGCTGACAGAGGGGATCAAGGAGAAGGTGGTGGAGGAGGTGGAGAAGAAAACAGCAGTGATGGAGAAGAAGACAGCAGAGCTGATGGAGGTGGTCGAGAAAGCAGCACAGCAGGCGGGCAATACAGGCAGTTCCCTGTACAGAGACGCACTTGTAAGGGCGGTCTCTGGGGCACCTCTGGATGCTAACCCTAGGTTGGCCGCAAAGGAGGGCATCAGGCAGCGACAGTTGCTAATCGACCTACCCAAGGACTCCAGGCTCAGGGAATGCGCAATCATGGTATTGGTGGGCAAGTTCTCAGAAGCCATGGGGAAGGCGACAGCGAACCAACACAAGATGAGGTCGGCTTTGAAGTTGCAGAACAGTGGTGTACTGGTTGAGATGGCTACGGATGAAGGCACAACGTGGCTTGCATCCAAGCCCAACACAGGAGCCTTCCTGCAGGAGCTGGGGGAGTCAGAGGCCTCGTTCAAGACGAGGTCTTACAATGTCATCGCTTACTATGTGCCTTTGAACCTAGATACCAACAGCGACAAGGACAGGAAGGAAATAGAGGAAACCAACACACTAGTGGCTACCACTTTATTTCTATAACCTAGACCCAAGCCTAGAGGGTCATTTCTATAACTTAGACTTAAGCCTAGAGGCCATATCTATAATGCTTAGGATTTTTTGAAAGGCATTTCAAATGTAGGCCTGGGTATTTCATAGTGAATTTTCCATAGATACCCAGCGCATTTTCTGCGATATTTCAAATGCATTCCTGGGTATTTCATTGCGATTTTTCAATGGATACCTTGCGCATTTCATTGCGATTTTTCCATAGATACCCTGGGCATTTCATTGTGATTTTTCAAATGTATCCCTGGATATTTCATTGCAAAATTTCAATGGATACCTGGCGCATTTCATTGCGATTTTTCAATAGATAACCTGGGTATTTCATTGCGATTTTTCAAATGTATCCCTGGGTATTTCATTGCGATTTTTCAAATGTATTCCTGGGTATTTCATTGCGATTTTTCAATGGATACCTGGCGCATTTCATTGCGATTTTTCAATAGATACCCTGGGCATTTCATTGTGATTTTTCAAATGTATCCCTGGATATTTCATTGCAAAATTTCAATGGATACCTGGCGCATTTCATTGCGATTTTTCAATAGATAACCTGGGTATTTCATTGCGATTTCTCAAATGTATTCCTGGGTATTTCATTATGATTTCTCAATAGATACCCTGGGCATTTCATTGTGATTTTTCAAATGTATCCCTGGGTATTTCATTGCAAAATTTCAAATGTAGCCCTGGGCATAAATGGTCAAAAACGAAAGTTGTAGCCCTACACTGTAGCTTCCCGAATCTGTTTGAATTATGTTCTGAAGTGCTCCCGTTGTGGAGATATGAGGTAAAGGAATTTGAAAAGTGTTGTGTTTCTTTTTTTTTTTTTTTTTGTGTTTTTCTCTATGAAAACAAAACCAAATAACATGATTTCAGTCTATTCAGAAAACTAAAAGAAAGGGCTACAATTATTGTATTGTGGGAAAAATGACCAAAAAAGGAAGGTGCATCCCCTACTATAAGAATCAGATATAGACGACCAAGTTTACTGATAGACTACAAAAAAGTCGGACTTAGACTACACAGTTTACTGATACACTATAAAAGACTACAAAAGTCGAAATTAGACTACAAAGTTTACTAATACACTACAAAAGACTACAAAAGTCGAACTTAGGCTACAAAAGCATGGACTTAGACTACATAGTTAGGGTTAGAGTCAAAAGGTTATTTTGACTACAAAGTTTGTAGTGTGCGCTTTTTCATTAAAAAAGTTTGTAGTGTCCGCTTTTTGAGACTACAAAAGTTGTAGTGTTGCGCTTTTTCATTAAAAAAGTTTGTAGTGTCCGCTTTTTGAGACTACAAAAGTTGTAGTGTTGCGCTTTTTCATTAGAAAAGTTTGTAGTGTCCGCTTTTTGAGATGTGTGCTTTTTTATTAGAAGAGTTTGTAGTGTCTGCTTTTTCATTTAAAAAAGTTTGTAGTTGACATGTATTTTATGGTGTCCTTGGCCCTATCTATGTTATGGGGATGAGGTTGAAGGATTGCCATCATATTGCCAGTGCTGCAGCATTAGTATTTGACATCATGCACAAGTTGTCTTTCACATTAGGAAAGGCCATTCTATGTCTTTCATATTGATACCTCCTGTCCTATCTTAAAACATAATTATAAGTTTATGTGGGGATATGGCTGAAGGATTGACATGACATGACCAGTTTTTGACATCATGACCAAGTTTGCCTTTCACGCTGTCTGCTTTCACATTGATAACTACTGGCCTGTCCCAAACATAGTCAACTTTGATACAGGTCTTTGAGGACTGTAGGATGATGGGCTGATTCATCCTTTGAGGTGTCTTGAAGACAGGTCATGTTGTAAGTTGACCATGTATTGAGTAGATATGAACATGAATAGCCTTCTCTAGCTTGAAAGCCAACTTGGGCATGATGTGAGGAACTGATGATGTGGCAATAGCAATATGTAAAGTCATGTGAATCCTTCAGCCATATCCCCATATGAGCTTACAATTATGTCTTGAGATAGGACAGTAGGTATCAATATGAAAGACATAGAATGGCCTTTCCTAATGTGAAAGACAACTTGTGTATGATGTCAAATACTAATGCTGCAGCACTGGCAATATGATGGCAATCCTTCAACCTCATCCCCATAACATAGATAGGGCCAAGGACACCATAAACTACATGTCAACTACAAACTTTTTTAAATGAAAAAGCAGACACTACAAACTCTTCTAATAAAAAAGCGCACACCTCAAAAAGCGGACACTACAAACTTTTCTAATGAAAAAGCACAACACTACAAACTTTGTAGTCTCAAAAAGCGGACACTACAAACTTTTCTAATGAAAAAGCACAACACTACAAACTTTTGTAGTCTCAAAAAGCGGACACTACAAACTTTTCTAATGAAAAAGCGCAACACTACAACTTTTGTAGTCTCAAAAAGCGGACACTACAAACTTTTTTAATGAAAAAGCGCACACTACAAACTTTGTAGTCAAAATAACCTTTTGACTCTAACCCTAACTATGTAGTCTAAGTCCATGCTTTTGCAGTCTAAGTTTGACTTTTGTAGTCTTTTGTAGTGTATTAGTAAACTTTGTAGTCTAATTTCGACTTTTGTAGTCTTTTATAGTGTATCAGTAAACTGTGTAGTCTAAGTCCGACTTTTTTGTAGTCTATCAGTAAACTTGGTAGTCTATATCTGATTCTTATAGTAGGGGATGCACCTTCCTTTTTTGGTCATTTTTCCCACGATACAATAATTGTAGCCCTTTCTTTTAGCTTTCTGAATATACTGAAATCATGTTATTTGGTTTTGTTTTCATAGAGAAAAACACAAAAAAAAGAAAAAAACGTGACACTGTTGAAATTCCTTTACCTCATATCTCCACCACGGGAGCACTTCAGAACATAATTCAAACAGATTCGGGAAGCTACAGTGTAGGGCTACAACTTTCGTTTTTGACCATTTTTGGTAATTGGTCATGTGACCACCCTCCAGGGAAGCCCATTGCATGGACCCTGACATGTGGGATACATTTGAAAAATTGCAATGAAATATCCATGGATACATTTGAAAAATCGCAATGAAATGCCCAGGGTATCTTTTGAAAAATCACAATGAAATACCCAGGGATACATTTGAAAAATCGCAATGAAATACCTAGGGTATCTATTGAAAAATCGCAATGAAATGTGCCAGGTATCCATTGAAATTTTGCAATGAAATATCCAGGGATACATTTGAAAAATCACAATGAAATACCCAGGGATACATTTAAAAAATTGCAATGAAATGCCCAGGGTATCTATTGAAAAATTGCAATGAAATGCGCCAGGTATCCATTAGTGTTTAAAGGTTCAGTTCAGTCCGGTTTTTTGCCCCGAAAACGCGCAACCGTGGACCGCAACCGGTCCAGGACCGACCCAGATATTGAGGGAACCGAACCGAACCACCTAGGACCGGTCTTTTGTGGTCCATGATACTGGTTCAGACCGATCCAGACCGGTTTTTTTGCGTATAATTTATTATACCAATATAAACCATTTGTATCTCAACCATTATTACTCTGAAAAATAAATGGGTTATATAAAATAGTAAAGCATATAAATACCCGTCATTCTACCAATTTTGAAGAGATTTAATGAAGATTTGACATAGCTATGACTGAAACTGAATTACATCGTAGAGACTCGGGTAAAATATGGATTTGGTTATATCTTTCTCAATTCTTAACCGTTTTTGATGAAACAAAAACCCAATAAAAGGTAATAAACGTGGTTACAAGGGCATGTAACGCACGTGACCGTTTAACCGGTTGCAACCGATCAAAACCGGTTTTTGAACGGTTTTAATATATTTTCGAAATGAGGCAACCGGCAACCGGACCAACCCCAAATTGGGGCAACTGCAACCGAAAAAAAGACCGGACCATGGTCCGGTTCAGTTCGGTCCACCGGTTTTTTGCGGTCCTATGGACTGAACCTTTAAACACTAGTATCCATTGACATTTTGCAATGAAATATCCAGGGATACATTTGAAAAATCACAATGAAATACCCAGGGATACATTTGAAAAATCACAATGAAATGCCCAGGGTATCTATTGAAAAATCGCAATGAAATACCAAGGGTATCTATCGAGAAATCACAATGAAATACCCAGGGATACATTTGATAAATTGCAATGAAATGCCCAGGGTATCTATTGAAAAATCGCAATGAAATGCCCCAGGTATCCATTGAAATTTTGCAATGAAATGCCCAGGGTATCTGTGTACTTTACACTCCCCCACACACTCCAGTCAGACTCCATCTGGACTCCACTGGACTCCATCTGGACCAAGAGGTGTCAGATCCACCAATCTTGGAGGTTTGATCATTGAAGCGACCCTGCCATCGGTAGTTTCCGAGGTTCGGCATATCAGCGGCAGCCTTAAGCGATCAACGAAGGCATTGGGCCATGATAAAAGTATAGGATAGATATGAAGATCATTATATAACATAGATATGGAATAAATAGAGGGAAAGTAATGTTAATCAATGAAAGGGATAGGTGGGGTCTTTGAGGGTAGATTACATTGTGACTGTAAAAGCTTGGGACTCAGAATTGGTAGATGGGAAGGTTGGAGAGGGACAGCCTGAGGTGGACTCAGAAAAGGAGCTCGTCGTGGTCGTCGTGGGGAATGCTCTTCAATGTTACGAACAGTTCGAATGCGATTTAACGGCATTATTTGTGTTACTGGTTGCTTTGCACGAGATTTGGCAGAATCGAGCGCTAAGAATTGGGAAAGTTTTGAATTCTTGAAAATGCGTGGTAGGCCAAGGATGTCTTCAGTACCACAAAGGTCAAGGAGTGTACGCCAGGTTTTATTGTGGGCACAGAGGCAAGAAAGTGCCTTGCGAGTGTTGAACGTTGAACAGCTATTCGTGGGTTGAAAAAAGATTATCTGAGCTCACGACACCATGCACTGCCGTTTGCTCCTTCTTCGTGGCTGAATCAAGC